TGGTGTTTGGAGAGCCATAAAGTATCATCACTGTATTTCATTTGCGTATACATAATTAATTTAATTTTTGTGATGGAATGTGGTGTATCTATATATATATATATATATATATATATATATATATATACATACACACGATTCCTTCCATACAAAACATACATTAATTAATCCATATATACATATATATATATACACGATTCCTTCCATACAAAACATACATTAATTAATCCATATATATACATATATATATATATATATGGAAGGTATTATACATATATATTGTATAATATATTAGTATATGTATATATCTTGTCAAATGATTAAATTAATACTCTTACTTGACATATATATGGATAGGCTGGTTATTAAATTAATTTATATGCATAGGATATGCATGGAATGCCTAGGTATGAGTTGTTTTGTTTGTAAGTTAATTTTCCTATGTGGAAACTGTATGGTTGAGTTATAGACATGGATGAGTTGTCAAATGTCTAAATATATTGACTTATTAGTATCAATAAAATATATACGAGTGAAGCAGGGATGAGTTGCTAATTAAAAGTATAAATAAATATATACTTAAGGAGGCATGGTTGATTTGTCAATGTATAAATAAATATATTTAAGGAGGTATGGTTGAGTTGCCAGTATATAAAAGAAAATATTTATTATGGCATGGTTGATTTGTCAAAGTGTAATTATATTACTACGTGTTAGATGATTAAAATATATCATCTATGGTTATCGTATGTATAAAGTGGATTGGGAATAGTTATTCTTAAATCAGAATAGTCTAGTATTATAGGTTAGTGTATTATTTTTTATATATTAATAAAATAATACCGGTCGTGACATGGATGATTTGTCAAAGCTTAGATATTTGGCTGTGTGATTTAAATACTTAAAATTATTATTGGTTTTAGAATTAAATATAATATTCTTTTAATTATATTATATTATTTAAATTATTAAATTGCTGTCTATGATGGAGTTAAGGTTAGAGGAGTTTTTTTAAAAGAAATTGTGGATTTGACTAGGTATGATTATTAATTAATCATTGATAATGGTTCTGAAATTAATGAACTTGGTAATAGTTGTGATAGTTATATTATATATAATTATGTGTATTAAAGATAAAGAATTTATTAGGTTTGGTTTTGATCAGAGATGATCTATTTATTGGTTTCAGAGGTCCGGTAGAGAGAACTTGCTCGTAGGGTTTAACCCGCGATTTATTTTTTTCAGGTTGTTAGAAGTTCAAGTCTAAAGATTGAGGATCCGCAGCTGGAGGACTTATCCATTCTTTCTTCTTATTTCAATGTAGGATATTTTCTTATTGTTAGATAATGGATTTTTATTTAGAGATCATTGGATTATTAGATTATGTTATCAGGGGTCATTGATTTACGGGATTCCCGAGTTGTAACTTTTGGAGAATTATTAATAGAATTTTTATTTAATAATATTTCCTTCTACGAATTATTTATTCTTTTTATTTCTTTTTGTACTATGTGCTTATTTGAAATACTTTAATTGTTTTGATATCCTCTAGTTTTGTGCACGGATTTGATCAACCCGTGTTCCGAAATTAGGGGGTATCACACGGCACCACCACCACCATCACCCCATCATCACCGACCACCAACCACCAATCTCTCTATACACTTTCTCTCTCTTCTGTAACACACCACCCACCACCAAAAAAGCCTTAACTTTTGGAACCACCACCACCACAACGACGGCCAACAGTTACATCTACCCAATTGTCGGGGTATAATTGTCTTTTAACTAATCTGATATTTTGAAATAAATGTTATTAAAAAAATTGGGGCAAAGTTGTTTTTTCACATGTTTTTAACGGAGGCTGTAACGGAAAATCAAAAATAGACCTTAGTGATAGTTATTTTCGAAAAATGTTTTAGACTGATATTTAACCAAACTACTGGGATGTCAGTGAAATTATCCCTATAAGTTATAACACCAAATTAGTAAAGTGCTCAGCTTTTAGACCGCTGTGTCCGTGCTTGAGTCCCTTTTGCCAATTTGCAAATATATATATATATAGTTTAAGGTCAATATATATAGTATAATAATGTGGTAAGTTCTTCGTAAATAATGATAGACTTCTCCTGTTGATATTTGTGGCATAAAAATAAAGTAACTATAATACTGTATTATATAATAGGAAAAAAAAAAAAAAAAAAAAAAAAAAAAAAAAAAAAAAAAAAAAAAAACCTATAATATTATATAATAATAAAAAGTAAAAAAATTATGAAATTATTGGAGGTTAAATCCAATAGAATCCTAATCAAATCCTAATTTGATTATTTGTCTCCCTCTCTCTTCCTCACTCTACCATATTGCTCAAGCCCTAATTTGATGACAATGTTTCCATTGTTGGTGACCATGCCGTTTGAAAATACTTTTCAACCACTTAAAAGCACTTTTAATTTAAAAAAAACACTTTTAGGGAATAGACATTGAATTTAAAAATAAAATAAATAAATAAATTTGCTTTTTGACAAATCTACAAATTAAAACTTTTAAAATTGTGTAATGTGTAGAAGTAGAATATTTAAAGTAGCTAATTTTATTGAACAGCTTAATCACTCTTTATTTTTTATAAATACAAATTTATGTAGTTGAAGTCTATAGCACCAGGCAAGATCTCACTAGATTTTACATCTTATATTTCCTATTGCTAACTTCTGATATTGCTACATCTGAATGTTAAAATTCAAGCTATTACTACATTTGGATAGACTTTGGGCTGGCCCAAATCAACTCGATTTTTGATTGAAATTAGATTGGGACCGGACTGAGTTGAGTTTGGCCAACGTAATTGTCAACTCTAGTGAAGCAATTATTATTATAAGCATTCTCAAAAACTCTTGGAAAGAGCCATTTTGTGAATGGAAAGACAAATTAAGGTTCAATTTAATAATGAATAGAGAGAGCTCACGGCTCTTCTCAAAAGGAGACTCCCATTGTAGCTTGCCAGTCAAAGTAAAATGGGTTTGTGCACACTTGATAATACTATTTAGATGTCACGCAAAGCGAGGTAAAAAAAATTTTAAGGTAGGACATTTCATGTAGCATTAGACAATGATCACTTAAAATTTAAATAGGTTTTTAATTTACACTTGACATTTTTCTGGGGGATTTTCACTTTGTAACAATTCTTATTCACTTCCACATTCGTGTTCCTTTTTACGGAGTGCCTAATCTTCTACTGTAGTGGTGGTGCTTTAATTTGTCAAACACAATATTTAATTATGTTTTTCAACACTTCAAATTTTACTTTTCAAAACATTTTTTCTCTTCTTCAACACACTAAATCTGGCTAAAACAGGTGGACTAATGTGTTAAAAACATATTTAATTGTGTTGAAAAAACCTACACATCAGATGATCCAAGGTCGAGGATGAAAACAGAGCATCGAATGACCTCTCTGTTGTGTGGCAAAACAATGTTATTTAGCCCTAGTAGTGTTTATAACAAATCAGTTGAATACCCCCAGATCAACACCAATTTACATGAATCAAATGATGATATCAAATTCATTTGTGACCCTGTAAAACACACCAAGTAGAAAAACACCATGTAAATCTTTTGTATATCAAAATGTCTTTATATTTCCCTATGTAACTGGAAATCACCTATTGAGAAGCATTTAACATGAAATTTCAATAAGCGGCTATCTGGGGGAATAAAACAAATTCTGGGTAGGGCTGCAACTTGGGTTGGCCCAACCCAGCTCAGTCCCAACCCAACTTCAACCCGAATGGGGTTGGATTGGGCCAACCCGAATTGTACTCAACATGGGTTATAGTCATAACCGAGATCGAATATTTTCGGTCGGGTTGACAGGGTGAGTTTTTTTTTTTTTTTTTTTTTTTAAATTTGAAATTTATATATATATAATTTTATATGTATTATATATATTTGCAAAACCCAAGAGTGCAAATATTTGCTTTTAAAAAAATAAAAGCAGAAGAAGGTCTATAAATGCAATACTCTGTCAGATAAGTCTATCAGTGTGTGTGTGTGTGTGTGTATATATTCCGTATTCGTACATAATATACATCCTCACACACAAAAATGAATGTGTATCTCTGTGTGTACAGAGAGATAGATCCCGCATAACAGAAATCTCGAAAAATTAAATAAAAAATAACGACACTACTAATTTACAGCATACACATATGTAGATATCTACATCCTCACACATATATGTATTTATGTCCATGTAAAATACACACATATGTACACATGATATATGCATCTCACATATATATATACAGGAATATATACATATATATGTGTATATATAGACACGCAAGCAAAATAAGGAAGATTGGCCGGGGATGCAGAATATGTATATATAAATATATAGATTTATATCCATAAACAAAATATTTATGCTTATATTTTTAGGGCAAATCATTTCAGCCCCTATCGCCTCATCTCTATTCTCTCAGAACTGCCCCCCCTGTTTCAGTTCGGGTTCGTCGTTAGCAAGCTTCAGCCACTGTCTCTCAACTCTCAAGCCTGCCCCCCTCTCTGTGCAACTGCTAACTTGTATGTATGGGTTTTATTTCAGTTTTATCTCTCTCTCTGTGCAACTCTTTAGCTTCAGCCACTGTCTATCAACTCTCAAACCCATATATTTCAGTTTTATCTAACTTGTATGTATGAGCGGCGGCGACGGCGGCAGAGGGGACGGCGGAGAGAGAAAGAGAAAGAACAGAGAGAGAAAAAGAAGAGAGGAAAAAAAAAAAAAATTTATGGGTTTCGGGTTAAGTTCGGATCAAGCCAGAGCCCAACCTGAATATGTCTAGATTTTGACAAAACCCAACCCGAACATGAACCCGATTTGTAAATTTAAAGTCCAAATTTTAAAATTTCGGGTTGGGCTTGGGTTGGGCTGGGTTAACCCGCCCAAGTTGCAGCCCTAATTCTGAGATTGTGTGAAGCATAAACACATAAAAGCAAGACCCTTCAACGGAAAAGATCGAAAAGGCTTCATATCACTCACATATAAAACCAGCATCCCAAAATATTTTTCTCAAACAGAACACATACCAAATTCTAAAAATATTCCCACTTGAATTGCAAGATAAAAAACAATTATCAAGGGGAAGAGAGAACAGAACAAATCATGTGATCGCTCAAAATCATAAATATATGTTTTTTTTTTTTGACAAAACCACGAGAAGAAAAATGTTCTCAGTTGGAAAATGATACCCTAAATCAGCTCTTCGCCTTCACCCGGAAAAAAAACCAAGTTGTGACTTGTGAACTGTCATGCCCATATGTTTGTAATTAGTGCAGTATGACCCTTTTATCTAATTACGAACCACGGAAACCATTGCCCCTTGGTCTGTAGTAGTCACCACCGTCTTGGTTCCTTCCCCTGCCAAGATTTCTACCACCAGAACGCCCTTTGACGGCTTCAGATTGATAACTTCCTCTGCCTCTTCCCCTTCCTGGTCAAGACAATTCAAAAGGCAATATATCAAAAAAAAGAATATGCAAAAGCATTCATAAATAAGGCACATCAGCAATTTTTTGTTCTTGATGAAAAGGCCATACGCACAAAGCTGTCCAAGATGAAATTTGTTCATTAATCAAAATCAGTTAAGAAATTTTTATTATGTCATTTTCAACATAATGACAAAAACCAATTTAGAGTTCACAAACAACTCAAGCAATGTATATCAAGTGGTATTCGTCTGAGCAGTGAAGTTTCAACACTCATATAAAGCCCAAAAGCTTTTTAGCAGAAAAACATATTATAACAATCAATCTGAAACTGCGGGAACTGAAGTTAGGGGAGGAGAGCGAGCCACGTTGATAAACTTTATCTTAGGCCCTTGGCCCCTCATACGTACATTGAGATAATGCCAAGTAAATGAACTTCTGAATTAGGCTATCAGTGCCTAATCCTGGGAAACACTGAGGAACAAGAATATGTTTTTTAAGTAAGAAGATAAAAAAAAAATCCTGGGAAACACTGAGGAACAAGAATATGTTTTTTAAGTAAGAAGATAAAAAAAAAAAACATAATTGCACTTGACAAGCTTAAACCTCACAGCAGAAACCTAACACTAATTCTGTCTAATTCCCTGACATATTAAAATCAAGAATGGTAACCTGACCCTATTTACCAACAAAAATATAGTTGCACAAAAACATTGCCACGTGGGCGTGGCTATGGCTCAATAAATGAATGCTTATTTACTCCATTACATATAAAATGCCTGTACAATCAATCAATGCTTTGAATCGAACTTAAAATAAAATTCAACCACCACAGGTCAGAATTTATTCACAAAGATCAATCCACGTTATGAAAGTTGTAATCAGAAAAATGAATCTGCTTCATACTATAGAAGTCACACGAAATCATAAACGGAGGCTTGAACCACCACACGAACCATTCAATGCTTGCATGCTAAAGATGGTAGATATGACAAATTGTCGACATACAATCAAGAGAGCAATAGGTAAACAATAAAAGTAAAGTAATACACACATAGTCATCAAGGAGAAGTAGCCAAACATGCTTATTAGTTAGAGTGGATCCTTCACTTGAATTACTACAACTCAAGCATCATCTAGGACAATAAAGAAATTGATGAATAGAAGTCTAGCATCCAAACTTGTTGGGGGTTGCGCCTCGCAAATCTTTTGACCACCGAACTCTAAATTACCCAGTTCATGTCCCATTTATGCAAACTGCTCTCTGACTTGAATTCACGTTAGAACCAACCGAAGGCCCTATCCAAAATCACCTATTTTTTTCACCACCTGAACTCACATTCTTTATTTCATACACCTTCAAGTAAAATTGAATAATACCTCCTTTCGGTGCAGTCATTGGTCCTTGTGGCACAGAACCAAAGGATCTTAAATGTCTTCCTCTCAGCTTGCCTGGCCACTCTGACTTCTCACAATTCATTTATATCGTAATATTATTTTTCTTTTCATCACCAAAACATCAGAGCAGCTGGCACTTCCACATATTTTCTAAATATGAAATTTTTGCACCAAAAAAGTACAAAGAGAACAAAAGCATGGCATACTTGTAAACATATCATACAACATTACAAACTACCATCTTAGACTTCACTCAACTTTTCTCATTGCATAGTAACATCTAAAGGTTAGGCGTCAAAGCAATTGGTGGAGCTCTAAAAATCATTTCTTGCGTGTGTGGTGAAAGATGTCTTCGCTCTCATTGCATTAGACTTCATGATCTTGTTGAAGACTGAAGAATAAGTTATAAAATAACATTCCCCAAAACCTTTCAACCTTCCATAAGAATGCATTACTTCCTATGCAATTCATATTTATAGCCATTCCTACTTAGATTTAGATGTAGATTTTGGCACTTGCTAAGCTGAAAATGGAAATCACTTCAAAACCACATTCATGAGAGGATTGGACATTCTACCTCTATGACTCTTACCCACTATTAGTTTTGGTCTACCTCTACGCAAATCAATCTTCCTCTTCTCAGAACTTTTCTTCACACACCTTAATGTACATAACAAGATGATCTATTTTAAGAGGAGTTGTTAATTCTCGCAAAATTTTAAGACCACCAAATAATCCACCCAAAATTTTCATTAATAATGAATTAAAACAAAGTGTAGTTCATCCATGATACAACACGTCAAGAAAGGCCAGAATCCACGAGCATGCCCAATTGATGTTAGTCCCAACATGCGCTAAAGAAAGGTGCATCATGGGATTCATTACTCTTTGATAAATTCTTTTCGAATTATGACCAAGGTATATTCACCTTGACCATCAAAGAAAGTACCCGACATGTCTTCCACACACAAGCATGTGTTTTCACCTAAGCCCACACAGAAATAAGAAACATTTTCTAAATTCAAAACCTGCTATTTGGACCTCTAAGCATGAGAGAGACATATCTCAGAATCATGATGTATACAAGTTTGAAGTCAAGAACCACCATTATGGGTCCATGTCATATATTTTCACCTTGACCATCAAAGAAAGTACCCGACATGTCTTCCACACACAAGCATGTGTTTTCACCGAAGCCCACACGGAAACAAGAAACATTTTCTAAATTAAAAACCTGCAATTTGGACCTCTAAGCATGAGAGAGAAACATATCTCAGAATCATTATATATACAGTTTGAAGTCAAGAACCACCATTATGGGTCCATGTCAGATACCAGCATATAGTATCAGACAGGTCCCAGTCCCAAACACAAATCACCGCCATCATGAAGCAGCAAATGCAGAGTACAAAATTAACAAACTAAGCAAAGCCACATCAGAATTATTATTTGAAAGAAATAATGTTTTTGAGGAACATACTCCCTCCTCGAGAAGTGCTGCTGCTGTTTGCTCTCCTCTCCTCAATATAAACTTGCCTTCCAGCCAATTGTATTGGAGATGCCTGCAAAAAGGGGACACAAGTGACGATATTATATGATGAATCAAAACCAAACTAGATAAGTGCTAAATCACATATCCAGTGAATTTCCAAGATATTGACCAAAACATAACAGAAACGGCTATTACACGGCTTGTTTTGTTCAAACTAACATGTACTTCAAAAGGAATGTTTTTAGGCAGTGCTAACAATTCAACATGGCAAGCTCTAATATGATTAGATTAATAACTAAACATCTCTTATATAAAATGAGTGGTAGGAAATTCAACTCTTTTAGGGGACATAATGGTTTGAGGAAAGACATGATCCAGGACAATGTTCCACGTAAGTCATAAGACAGTCATATCGCAAAACAAGAAGATTGATACCAGTCAATAGAAAGTTCCAAGATATTGACCAAAACATAACAGAAACAGCTATTACAGAGAGCTTGATTTGTTCATATTAACATCTACTTCAGAATGTGTGGTAGGAAATTCAAATCTTTTAGGAGACATCCGGTTTGTGGGAAGACATGATCCAGGACAAGATTCCATATAAGTCGCAAGACAATCATATTGCAGAACAAGAAGATTGATACCCCTCAATAGAAAGTTCCATATTCATCCAAATTGAAGAAGAGTGGCAAGAAGGTGGTCTGATAAGTATCATCATTTACAAATACACTTCAACAACTTAACATTCCAGCATAATAAACCTCATCCAAAGAAGTGATACCAAGTTACCAACTCAATTTCCAATGTAAATTTTCAGTTCAAAAAGACAAGAGGATAAAAGACCATACCAGATAAGTAGAAGCCAACATCTTATCATGGTAAAAATAAAATACATTAGATAGGTTTCAATAACTCTATTCATATATGGACAAATGAGAAGTTAAGAAAATGCACAAGAAGCAAGTGATGTAAAGATTTTGTTAAAGATATATAAATGGCACAAAAATATACTATAAAAAGCGAAGGAAGAAAAAGATAATGAATGGCCTCATCACGTGTTTGAACGAGGTAAAAACTTAAATATTACTAGCTCTATTATTCTAGTTAATCATTTGGATAATGCATGCTGAACTGAGATGACTACCATCAAACCCACAAGACATTCACTTGACATGAAAATTTTAAACAAAGGATTAAACACAATGTAAATTTTAAACCTTGATTGCGTTTTGGACACTCTGAACATCTTCAAACTCTACAAAGGCATAGCACACACCAACTTCCTGCAAGTCAACTGCTATTTTAGATTCCTTCCAGGTTTATGTTCTAGGAAAATGGTCAACAGAACAAAGAAAAAGATTAACCGTGCGATTCCTGACAAACACGCCATCAGGCTTGATTCTTCCAAAGTTCATAAACTCTAGCTCAATATCAGCAGCAGCAATACTAGAGGGCAAGTTCCTTACATAGACAGATTTTGATTCACCTGAAGAAATGAATTATCAAGAATCAACCAAATTGCTCACTTGAAAATAACTGTGAATTTAAATCTTAAAATGCGAAATAGTCATTAAAGATGGCAAAAAGATACAAGTAATATGAATTTGAAGCTAACCAACAAACCATTTGGATATCGTTAACCAAATAGATACAACTTTTCCCTATAGTTAGCTCGGCACAAATCAATAATCCCAGAAACATATAGAAAGCAAGTTTCTAAAATGTAAAATAGCAATTTTATATTTGTTTTTCCTACAAACATGTACATGGGGTTATGCCTTACAAGTCACGAATCATGTGCTAAAGAGACTCATGGCAACAAATACCATGTCCTTGAAACGACTCCATATTTCTAATTTTAAACTAGATCTTACTGAAGTTGTACAAATCTTTTTCCCCCCTTCTTGTGAAGTCATATAACCATATTACTGGGTCAAATATTCCAAACAGTAAATTTTATCTGCTCAAGATCACAGATGTGAGGATGTGATCCATCACAAGCGCAGTCCCAGCCATCCAAACACCAGCAGCACCCTTAAATTTGTGCTTTGCACACTAAAATAACATCAGCAGTGTCCTTAAATTTGTGCTTTGCACACTAAAATAAGTGCTAGCAGAATAAATATCAAGAGGACACTAACGCTGCATTTGGCAGGAGGGAAGAAACTCAGGGAAGAGTGGAACAAAGGAACAGCTTCCCTTGTTTGGTAGAGGGTAGAGGGAGTGGGGAATGGATGGAAGAGGAATCCCTCCAGCCCACCATTTGGCTTCCATCCAAAATTGAGAGGAAGAAGAGAAAGAAAGAAGGATATTTGTTAGATAAAATTGAGAAGTCGTTATTACCTAAATTTGAGTGTATTACTTCATAAATTTAATGGTATAATTGTAAAATAATAATATCACCCAAATACTACCCTTCCACACAACCAAACAATTGGATGGATAGACACCTTTCCCTTCCCTAGCATGCCTCTTCCATCCCTCCATCTCTCCCTTCCATTCATTTTTTCATCCCTCCAACCAAATGGAGGATAAATAGAAAAAGCAAAGTGCAAAATTTCATGCATCTGTCAAATTATCTTAAAACTGAAAACAACAATAAGAGTAAAATTTGAAAATTCACCTTCTTGTGATAAACTTTCCTCCACTGCCTCTGAGCTAGATTCAGGCACATATGACCAATCATAGTTGGACTGCTGAGGAGCAGGTTGCGGAGGATAATTCCACTCTGAATCAGGTGTGGTGCTCCTAGGAAATGATGGCTGTGCAGCAACTGACGGAACATACTGCTTTTTAGGAGCTCGCAACTATAAAGTTTTCCAACGTTTCAATACACCACATGAAAAAAATATATACAAAAAAATTGGTCAGTCCAGCAATCAGACACAGGCCCACAGCTTGCAAGTCTTTTAACGTAAAAAATGCCACATGCAGAAATAGATAACTAGTGTCACAAAATTCCTCTTTAAATCAAACCTTCGCTCCATATACATATGCACACGTTTAGATATGTCTATGGTCCTCATAAACACACATGGACACAGGTATCAAATTCAAGGTGCTAGATTCATTTAATTGACAATAGTAAGGGGCAAAGTTAAATTTCTTGGGTTTCCAGATGTCCTCAGTACCTTAAGGGCAAAGATGCATGACCGTAAAATGGATGTCCGATAAAGTGCTTCGCACATTTTGAAATTTCCAAGTCGAACAAGAACACAGTAAGAATGTATCAAATTCAACACATGACAAATTTCTACTAGAATGCAAGACACGTCAAATACAGAGAATAGCATGTAATCTCTGATAGAGGTACTTCACACAATTTAAAATGTATATGTAACATAGACCGCTATAATAGCCTACATCACAGATGTAGAAATCTTCAATAATCATTGAGACCTGGAGAACTCACTGAAACGCCTTTGCTCATATGAATACACTATCAATCAGTCAAAAGACTGATCATCATCAAGAAAAAGTTGAGCCACAAATGACAAAGAGCAAGGACATGTGCGCATGAATGTGAACAAATGTTGCATTAGCACGAAAGGAAGATGTGCATACTATAGAAGCATAAGTAAGTTTGGGAGGTTCTCCAACAGGTTCCTCCACAGCAGGCAGGGGATCCTGCATAGTGTTCACCGCATCTTGATGTAAAACAGGTAACTCTTCTAGAGAAGTTTCTTCCACGACAGTTTCATCCTCAGGCTCTTGCTGCTGCTGTTGCTCTTGGATACTGTACTCATCATCTGGATCATCTCCTTCTATGTGAACAGAATTCACATAGTCCCTTGTCTCTACCTCCAAGGCATAATCTGAAGCTGCTAAAACCACTGTGTTAGGCTTCCTAGCCCAAATAAATGTTAATTTAAATAAAGAACACTTTCTGTGTCTAAAATTTTTTGAGAAAGATCAGTAAATGATAAGAAAGGAGTATTTCCCAACTTAAAAAACATAGTCTTTGATGCTCATACACATAATTTTCTACAATTCACCATCTCCATAATGTACAGATTTCATATTGATATTACTGCCTTTAGGTTAAGGTAAAAATAATACATATTTACAAAAAACCATAGAGATTTTGTCATTAATTAGTGACGAAAAGGTCATTCGTTAAACTTCCTTTTTTTCATATACCCTTGGACAATTACTTAAGATGAGTTCAATCACCAAATTCTAGTCTAATTCAAAAAGTGTTAAATCTACAAGTACTAAGCTTTTACAATCAAGATTACGTCACAATACCTGGCGGATCCAGAAGAGGAGTAGAAGTACTTAGATGAGTATCAAGTTTGTCTTCTGATAACACGGGTGCAGGATGTTGGTTGACCGCCTCCTCATCGAGAAAATGAAAGATATCATTCATAACATAATAACCCTTCTCCTGAGGAGCAAGCAAAAAAGTCTGCACAAATTTCCTTCTGCCACTAAAATCCTTGATTTTAACAGAACCTGATACCACAACAAGAACACCTCCACTCCAGGATTCAAGAGAATTTATTGTCTTGATTTCAATACCAGTAAAATTTAGTGACGTTATAAGTGTATGGATTTCCTGCACACAAAGGAAAAAGAAATATAATGGTCATTTTTCATTTAATACATACAAGGAGTTACACATGAGATGAACAAAAAATAGATGAATTTAGAAAGCCAAAATGTGCACATGCACTCACAGAGGTTTCACATATAAATAAAATGTTAATAACTCGATATTGAAGATGGAAAGTGTTGTATCCTAATTAACTGCTGAGAAGCAAGCATCACTTGCAGCTTCACTGAAATATTAATGTCAATTAATTACAGATAACAAGTAACATCAACTGACGGGGATAACATGAGGAAACATTCTGTATCTAAGCAGACAAACTTTCTGGCCAAAAGAATTCTCCTTAGAGATATTAAGGAGAGTAATGTCCATCTATCTACCTTTGGTGATGGATGCAGTCTGATTTGCTATTACTTTTCCAGAAAGGGGATCCATCGTCACTTCTTCTGTTGTAATGTTTCTCGTTGTAAGAGCAATAAAATTTAATTTTTCTTAAACTAAACAACCAGCATGACATCTAAAAGAGTCTTGAAAAGGAGACTAATTGGTGGAGATAAGGAATTTATGCATTTTGTTGATCTAGTTTTGGTGAAGATGGATATTTTAACACTTTAGTTTCCAATTACTGCCTTCCACAACCCACCTAATATCTACAGGGCCTAAAAAGCTCAAACAGGATAATTTGTCATGGAAGTTATAGCACACAGAAGCTGCTCCAGGACTAGGGTTTAATACTCAAATCCACAAACCCCTTAGAGAGCATGCTCTTGAGTTTATTTTTGGTTTTGAACCCCAAAACGAATAATGGTTGAGATATGAACAATTGAAAATGGGAACAGCAGCAGTTAGGATGAATAAAAGATTGTCATTTTGATTATGCAAGATTTATAAAGGAAAATTGCAGGACAAACTTTATGACACTTACAGAAGGAGGTGGGTAAAAACAGAACTTTCTGAAAATTGCATCACCGACAACAAATTTCCAACTTCAACTATATTCTCCAGAAACTACTGTTCCCCACCTCCAGAATAGGAGTTATCTTCAGATACAAAACCAAACAGAAAAATATATTTTAAACATTCTAGTGGAAGAAAGTTAATGAAGCTCAAAAACCCTTGGTGTAAAGGCACCTTCTCTTTTTAACATATATATAATTACATATATGCGTGTGTGTATGGGTATTTCCTACCAAGAGTTAAACTTCTAAATAAATTGTGGCCTTACAGCCACCTTGTGAGGATTTTTAGCATGATATTATGTAAATATTAAACTTAAGAAAATAATGTAAGAGTTAAAAGAGCCCTTTGGTGTCCAGAAGTGGATATGCAAAGTTGAAAGCTCATAAAGGTTCAATCAGGTGTGATATAACAGCATAAGAATATTCACATTAACTCCACGAAGATGAGGTAAGAGAATTAAATTACTCTCATCATATATAACTTACATATTTCTAAATGCATTGTTATAAATAAAACAAAGGCAGAATACACAAATAAAAACATAATTTTTAAACAATCAAGTTGAGCACCAATTTCCTCCACATCTTTCTGTTCTCTCTTTTTCAGGGATATTCAGAAACAGAAGTTGTCACTACTGACTTGGTTATTTTGCCAGCAATTTGAATTATTAGTAATGAATTGAGATTTTCTTTCCTTCGTTTTTTCTTTTTTATGGGGGTGCGAGTAGAGTTGGGAAGGTTTCTTACTATACCATGAATTTCATATTTATAAAAGTGAAAAATTAAAGGACATCAAATCTCCAATAATTTTAGAATTTACTCATCATTTTGTTATTGCTATTTACCAAATTCATACAACAATGAAAAATCTCATATTTAAGAACAACAACAAGATTAGAAACCAACTTGCCAACTAATGTATGCATACGAGTACACTGCTTTGGCTTTTAACTTATATATGACAAACAACATCACAAAAACTCATGAAAATTAACATTCTTGAAACAAGAATCACAAAACTAACTGAAAAATCTATCTTCTCAAATTTTATTTAGCTATTACACCGAAACCAATTAGATTTAAACATTACAAATTAACAAATAAAAACAGAGCATTACCAACATAGTTGCCGCCGTCTCACTCGAATCGCCATCAACCCGAACCACCGTGCTCGCATCTGTATAAAACTGGTGAGCGAAATCAGGTTGTTGCTGAACAATCTGATAGTACTGCCCAACAAAGTACGAACCAACCTGAAACAAGAACAAATATTTAAACGAAAAAGAAAAAACACAATTGATTCACACACCAACAACACGAACACCACCAAAAATCTCGAACTCTATGGTTCACGATTGAATCACCTGAAAAGCACTAACGGAACTAGGGAACGGACTCGCCATGTTCGCTCTCTAGCAGAGCATGCAACGATAACCGATCCAAAAAACCCTAGTCTCACTCCGTCGCTCCCGATTCCAAGATTCGATCAAAGATCCGAACTTTGAAACCCTAAATCTCAAACTCTGTGATTCACGAACAAAGTCTTATGTATCACCACAACTCGTACAAGTACACTATATGTGTATATATATTCCTCTAGAGAGAGAATGTTGTAGAGAGAGAAAGTGGAGAGCTTCGGAATGGAACCCTTCGGATGGATAGATCTGTATATAGAGAGAGAGAGAGAGAGGGAAAGAAGACTCTGTCTCACTCCACTGACAAATTTCAAGTTCCCTTTTTTCAATTTGCCAATCTAGGCAACAAGTCGTACGGTAGTTCAATACACTTCGAATCAGGACCGTTGTAACCGTGTGATCGTAGATTTGACGGAATAGACGAGTCAACAAGTCAACGGTGTAGAGAGATGGAATGAGATCAGACGGTCCCAATTTGGTAATACGCTGAGGGAGTCAGATGATCGAAGTGATCTGCGGCTAACGTAAGCGAGATGCGAAGGAGTGGAGTTTCCGAATCAGGAGGTACAGTAAAAGTAGAACAGTTTAGTGGTAAATGAATTACAGTGGACTCTTTGAGAAAGGGTTGAGAGAATTTTTTACTGACTACTCTGAGCATGAGTTGTGATTGGGCCTAGAAAAAGTAAAAAAGTCACCTTGCTTTTTTTGGGTTTGTATCATGTTTTAACTGTTATCAAAAGTACCCTTCATTTTCATTTCAAAAAGAGGGGTTAGATTTTTATAAAAAATAACAATTCGATTTATGTGTCATTAATGCATCAAAAAACCTTGCAACTTATGTGTGACATGGTTATTGGATTTTATAATAATACATTTTTTGAATAAAATTTTTATCCTTAGAAAATATATAATGTGCGTTAATAAGATTGAAAATATATAATGTGCCTTAATAAGATTACAATTCTAATCAATAAGATTAAATTGGTAAGGAAATTTTTTTTTTATTCTTCTTTTCTTTTTCGTTTGTTCGGGCAGAAAATAATAATGACATAAAATAAATGTATAAGAAAGTGAAATGCATGATCGATTTTATTTAAGTGTAAATAATTCTTTGGAGAAGGTGTGTACTAGAAAAAAAATAAAATGAAATAAAATAAAATAAAATAAAATAAAATGGTGAAGTGCAATGAAGGATGAGAAATATTTTCCAATATGTGATTGTCATGAAATTTTTTCAACAAAGTTATGAAAAATTACTATTTTATAGATTAGAATGCCAAGGGGAAAAAATAAATTAATTTAAATTTATAATACTCTTATAAAAATCATTTCCCTGTATTTTTTTGGCTAGTTAAGTTGTCATATAAAAATTATTTTTTTCTCAAAATTGTCATTTTCTTGCTGCCCAAAAGTATTTATGCTATGTTTGGCGGGCATAAAATTGGAATTGGTGGAATTGACCAATTCCAAAGTTCCAATTTCATGCCCCCAAACACTTAAGAATTTTTAATTTCTTTTCCTTTCTTAGTATTTTCATCTAATCAAACAAGTCAAAAGGAAGTGAAGTGATTGAATATTTTCTAGGTGCTTTTGATTAGTATGAAAGTTTTTCAAGAAAGTTGAGAAAAAATTTGAAATGCATTAATAGAAAAGGCATTATTGTAAAAAATTTAAAATTTTCTCAAGAAATCAATTTTTTTTTTTGCTTTTTGTAGAAAAATTTATGTCAGGTTTTGGTGGTTTTATGGAATAGTAAGTTTCCCTCAAATTTTTCTTTTTCTTTTATCTAAACATTGAAAGTGCTTTAAAGAAAATAATTTCTTTTCCTTTTTTGTTTCTTCGTGTTTGCTTTTAAATTGGTAAAGTAAAAAGGATTATAATAAATCAAAGTAAAAACGATTTGTTTCTTTGTGTTTGCTTTTCTAAATATATCCTTAAATATTTTAAAGGTTTGACTTTTGAGTATCTACTTTTTTTTCCACAAATACAATAGGATTTACCGCTGGGAGAGAATAAACGTAGTACAAAAGTTATTCCAAAAAAGAAAAAATAACTGAAAGTACCATGTAATATGTGAATAAATAGTTTGTTACTTTCATAATTCAAAATTTCTGTTTAATGGGTTCAAGTAGGGTATGCAACTCTAGCGGGCCCAGCCCCAATTTTAGACTTGGGTTGTGTAGATTGCAATCCCCTTGGGTTGAAAAATAGAAACCCTAAACTCAATCTGAGCTTGTTTTGAATTACAATAGCTGACGAATCTGAAATATGAACTCGAATATAGAACCCAATAAGAGGTTGGGTCTTAGAGCAACGGTAAAATTGCTCTATTATGACCTCGGTTACAAAAATAGCATCCCCATGCTTGGATTGCCATATATTCTGTAGAGGTGCTTGGTTTCAGAATGTGGCAATGTGCTCTAATAGGTTATAAAGTTGACCATAGTGCTTTGTTAACTCTTCAAATTAGGTTGTCTTACATTGATTCTTGACCAATTGATATTTGTCATTTTCTTTTTATGAGGACCCTTCACTTATGGTAGGAATAAGCATGTTCTTGGCATTTTAAGTTGTTTTGAATTGGAGCCAAAGAAAAAGAAATACTGTGCAAGTAGCTTAAGAATGAAGCTTGCATTAAAACTTGTTTTAAACTGCAAGTGCTGCTTTTGGGATCACTTCTATCAGCAACATACCTGTTTTACACTGCAAGTGCTGTTTTACAGTGCTTCTTTGGCCCTGTTGTTAATTAGAAACAACCGACCTGTTGTTAATTAGAAACAACCAACACGTAGACATGGAGACTCTCGATTTGTCTTAAAACATGAGAATTTAAGAGTTTTTTAAGAAAAAGCATGACAGTATATTAGCTAGGGATACCACACAATAAACTCATGGGACTAGGCATAAACTCAGCCGCTCTTAACTTCGACTCTCACATAAAGCAAAAACACCAAGGTTTAAATGATGTTTGGTTTGTGGGTGATTGCACAAATCTATGTTTAGATTACAACCGTAAGTTCAAAAGACACGGTGATTGGAACTTGGAAGAAAAAATAAAGGTCATGTTCTAAAATTTTTGTTCATTTGGACTTTTCATTCATTGATTGCATGGATCGAAGAGTGATAAAACTGAGCAAACACATTTCAGAGACAATTCAAACCTCTGTGTGTCCTGAAAACAAAAAGGAAATTTTTGATGTGGTCACACAAAACTGTTCTTAGCAGGTATTAGTAGGTAAACCACACACTCACAAACAAACTCAATTTTCTTATGAAACTTGAATCCCCCAATCTTCCTCCTATAGGTCAAGAAAATAATATTATTTGGAAGAGACAAACCGATGGTTAACAAAGACAAAAGGATTTGCAAAAAAGCATGCATATAAGATAGAGATCCAAAATTTCAACAATCAAAACTTAAGACCAGTAAAACCAGCATTATCCGACATTGATACCCATCAAAAGCCTCAAACAAAGAAAGACCACCAATTCCTTTTTACTTTACAGGTTGTCTCCATAAGTTGAGAGTGTTTCAGAAACTTTGTAGCAACTTTCCCCGCCATGCTTTATCAATACATATATATATATATATATATATATATATATATATATATATATATATCAATACATATATAGATGTTCATAAGAACCTCCAGTTTGATGCAGCATTGCGTCAATTTCATCGCCGTCCTCCATCTCAAGCTATTCACGTGATGATTCAAAGAAAAGAAAAAAAAAAGGTTAAATGCAACTCCAGTGCTTCTTATATACATTAGAAGCAACACATTTGACAAAGCCGTTTCTTCTTCTTTTTCACACACACACACACACACATATATATACAAGTCACGAAAAGGCAAAGCTTATTGTTCAAAGCATCAATTGTCCTGAAACCCTATCTAGGGATGGAGCAAAAAGAATTCAAAGTACTATAAACAAATTGATCAAAAAAGATTTAAAAAAATAAAATTCAAGGCTTCTCTAAAAGAGAGATGTTAATCAATTAGATCTCTTTGAAGAGAAGGAAAATATAATTTTGTAGCCAAGTGGATTAGGTTTTGCTTTGTTAGGTACAATTTCATAGAGACAGGGCCTGTTAATTATTGGGTCCTAAACTACAACATGCAGAAAAAAAGGAAAAAAAAAACATAATGTTCAACAAAGGTGCATTAAACAGAAGTATCAAACTACACGGGTACAAATAAACAAAAAAAATTATACCTCATCTGGAGTTTGCTCTGGTCGAAGTCGACGTCCATCAAACAAGAAAGCAATGGAGGTCAACTCCACAGACTGTCGGTCACAGTATGCAGTCATGAGCTTCCTCAATTGGGTGCTGCGCTTGATTCTAAAGAACACCTCGTTCCCGTCCTACAAGAAGCCGATTGCCACGAGTAACAGAGGTCAAGAGTTAGATAGACCTAGCTTACACTACACATCCATAAATAAATAAATTATTTAATTGTGAAAAATATTATTATAATGTGTTGCAATTTTTTGACAGCTCTAATTTATGATAAATTGAATTCTGTGTTGGACCTCTTGATATCTCTCCACACCTCGAGAGAGATCCTTGTCCTAGCCTAATCACGGGAATGAAGGGACCCATGGGGCCACTCCCATGAATCTCCCCAATCGGGGGACTGATGTGCTATGATGGATTATGAGACGTTTAGTCCAGAGGCTGACACTACCATTGTCCAAAAAAAAAAAAACAAATAATAATAATGATTCAGCTAAAAAGACAAACTGACTAAAAACATAACACGCATACTCCAACATGTATACACCCCACTACGCCACTAGCAATTACTCCTAATACAGAGAATACAGTCCCCAAACAAGAAACTATAATTTTACTCTCAAATTCCTTTTAGTTCACTCCCATTGCTTCTATTAACTGTCGCGTCAAAATCAAAACAAACAGCAAAAACAATGGCCAAGCATTCAATAATCAAAGCAGAGAATCAAACACAAATACATTACATAATCCACGAGAGACCTACAACTCAACACGTTAGATTTTACCGCTTTTGCGGCTTGCGCTACATGACCTTGCTTACACTACACATCCATGATCTATTTATATATAAAGAAACTTGAATACATCATATATATACACATATATATACCTGACCCTTGACTTTGAGGTTAATATGGACAGATTGATCTGTAGGCTTCTTGTCTTCACCACCACTACCACCAGCACCAGCACCACCACTACCACCAGCAGTGGCCGACATTATCAGTCTCTCAAGGTTTTTCTCTCTATATTCCAAAGAATTTACACACACACACACACGAGGGGGGCGAGCCCTTTATATACACGCTTTGGAACGCTTGGTGCTTCTCACACGGCATCCAATCCCATACTTCAATTACGCGAAGTTTGGCTGTATTTATTAAAGTGTGTTGTAAAACGTGAAAACAAAACAAAACAAAAAAAAAACTATATTTAATAGACGTTTGGAATCCGGGGTGGGTGTGGAAGGAGAATCATTGATTTTGACTATAAAAGGGGTTAGTTTAAGATGGGAGCATCAAATTGACGGTGGGAGTTGCTTGGGAGGGAATCTAACGGCTGGTAGTGGTGTGGATTTAGCGGTGAGAGTGGATTGTGGAGTCACTTTCTTGCTTTTTATGGAGTATTACATGTAGTTTTGGATGCAGGGATGGTACAAGATTCTTCCTTATCCATTGTTAAAAAGACTTCTCAGTGTGTGCCACCTCATCAATGCTTTTTTTTTCATATAAAAAAAAAAAAATTAATTGCTAAAGGACATCAGGTGTACAAAATCAATTTTGACTCTTCGTTGGTTTAAATGTAGAAAGTCGCGTCAGTCCTTTGGAATAATACATAACTCTCTATATTATTTTTTATTTATTTTAAAATAAAAAAGAGTATATTATCTTGACCTTTATTAAAGTTTGCTTTTATTACCTTCAAATTAAATACTTTTTTGCAAAATAACTATGTGCCCCTCTCATACTAGGACTGGGATCCTCTTCTATAAACGGGTCATGTTGTATCCATGCTATAATGAAAAAAAGAATTGTTTTTAAATAGGTGACGTTAAAAAAAAAAAGAAAAAAAAAAGGGAAAAAATAGCTTATTATTACCGACTGGTGCCGCAATTAATCATAGGGTTGAACAGGGAGAGAATCTATGGGTAAGGGAAAACGATAATAAAAAAAGAAAAAAAATAATAATAATAAAAGGAAAATAAAATATCTTCTTCTGCTTTAGCGCCGCCCTCCTTCATCACTATCCCTTACGACATCGCCCTCTATCATTACGGTCTACCTGGGTTGTTCATGGTCACGGCTGTATTTTCAGATACTCACCCTTTCTCTCTCTCTCTTCAGATGGTCATATGAATCATACAAGAAGTAAACAAAACTAAAATTAGAATTAACCTTTAGTTTGATTGCTGGTAAAACGTGAGAAGAGAAAACAAAATAAAAATTTGAATCTTATATTTTTCATTATTTAATACCTTCCAGAATTAATATATCTTAATTCACGCTTCTGGCTTGAATTGAGGGATCATTGGTGAGCCAGTCAGTCTCGTATTGTCATACTACTATTAGACCTATTGTACTAATATGAGCAACTTAAGTCGTTTGAGAAATTTTTCAACAAGACATATGATTGGAATTGGATTTAAATTCAAAGTCCGGAATTTATTTTGCTATGACATATAACATAAATAAATCATAATTCCCAATGCATTAATGTTACGGAATTGTCATGTAAAGGAGTTACAATAAAAACGGTGTTCTTATTTTCTCTTCTGGGAGTCGCTTTTTTTTCTTTTTGAATCTGGATAACCAAGACGCTTCTGGCTTGAATTGAGTGAAGTTATTCAAATACAGCCAACCTGTGAGGACACGCATCATCAAACACCTTCCGTGCATTCTCGTTCCTGTCCCACCACACCACAACATCAAGACCCATCACTTTTTTCCCATGTGGTACTACCCTCTTGTCCAGATCACAAACCGGCATTACCGAATACCACTGCGAAAACTAATCGAATTTCTCATCCTGGTTGCTAATTTTGATTTCTTCTTCAGGTAGATCTGTAAATTCAGTTGAAACTGTAGGTGAAATGGTAATGAAAAGCTTGAATTTTGATTCCACTTTGGGATTTGATAAGAGAAACGAATTGGTTTTTTTACTCTGGCTTGGAAGTCAACTGTGCTTTAGGTTTTAACTCTTGATGGTAACAACTTCAAAGGTATTGTTATATACTAACTTTAATATGGTAGGTTTATGTGATTAATTAACAATTAAAAGCTTCATATGGATGGTAATTGTATCGTATCATTTAAGAACACAAGGGAATTTTTTTATTGTGGTATTAATTATGACCTGAAAGAGCTTTGAATTCAAACAAAGTTTCGGTATCCTAATGGTTTTAGGATTTGAATGTCATGATTTGAACTTTAAAGTTAAGATAGTTCTTTATCATTTGTGTTTTTTTTTTCTTTGTTTTTTTAAAAAAAAATTCATGTCTCATTGATTGGTAAACACCTTATTTGACTTGATAGTTTATTTGAAATCGAAGTTGAATTTACTTAAATGTCTGTTTTTATTAGCTTACATTCTTGTTCAAAACTGTTTGTGTGCCTTTTCTGCTTGAATCTTGTAGTCAATCTTTTTTTATTTTGTTATCCCTTATTATTATTATTATTTGGTTGCTCGTTGGGTGAAAGTGTGAGGCTAGTGTATCATGGGAAGAAAATCGAACTCAAGACCTCCATCTGGTTAGTGTAGGTAAAGAAAGACCTGCATCTTTTTAAGTGTAATTGTTAACAAACTCGTACACCTTCATGGAATCTGTTATCTTTTCTTTTTTCCTGTTTGGGGGGTGTGAAAGGGAGGCATTATTCAAATAATCTAAGCAGCTTTAGGGTGTTGGATAACAAGAAGGCGTATGAGCTATATAATTGGACGAGCATTGGGGCAATCATGCTTCATATCTTATTCTATTCTTCCTTTATTCTCATCCTACCATTTTTCCATTCTCTGACTTCCCTCTGATATTATGTTGTGAAATTAGACTATAGAGTTAGAATAAGCTAATTAGTCACTGAGGAAACCTTTTCTCTACATTAGAGTTATCAATCAGATGTCGTTGTTCTGTAGTTGTGATTTGGTAAGGGGTGATGTGTGTTCTATGCCTAACTATTACAACTACAGCTACATGTCAATGATCTGTTTTACAATTTAATGTCATTTTGCATTGTTCATAGCCAATTTATAGTTACAATGTCATTTTTTTAAAAAATTTATAGTTTCATGATGGGAAGTTCAACTGGAGTAAAACGGAAATGTCAAGCTACTTCCTCGAGTCCTGCAAAAGTGGAAGATAACTCCACATAAGCCGGCCAATTGCTATTTATTATATAGGTACAAATTTTATAAAATATTACTTTGTTAAAATATTTTATGTATATATTTTGTTGTTCTTAATATATTTGATTCTATGTCATGTTATTAGGAAACAAAATAAAAAAAACTGGTACAAATGTGGTGGGGCAAAACAAGGAGTATTCAAAAGAATGGAATTCGATATCAGAAATTGATAAAAAACCATTTAGAGATCAATACAAAAAGAATATGGTGTTTTATACTAAGAAAAAGAAATAGGACAAAAAGCATAAAAAGCCTAAGGTAAGAATTTCTACATTTTAGGGGTAGTTGATAGTAATATTCAAGGGGTTCTAATTTATTACAATTCTTTGAAAACTGTTATGTATTTTTACAATGTGGAGAACATAATAATGTTCCCTTTTACAATTCTTTAAAGACTATTTTGTACTGTTATACTTGGTTTTCTCTCATCAATGATTATTAATATTATAAATTTATTAGGTAGCGAATTTATCAAATAAAAGAGTGAGCACAATGCCGGTGAAGATTTTTTTTGAAACTATATCTAGATTTAAAAAAGACCAGATTTCTGTTGTTCAGGATATAGGTTTTGGAAATCTTCTTAAGTTGAAGTGTACTCACTTGAACCAATATATTTGTCAGTACCTGGTAGAAACTTTTGATGAGCGCAGATGCGGTTTAAGGATTTCTGATAAACTCATTCCGATAACAGTGACAGATGTCGAGCACATTCTTGGGATACCCAATGGTCACTTAGTAATGGTGAACTCAGAAGGAGACAAGGGTATAACCAATTGGAGTTGGATCAAAGAAGGTAGTTTCATGAAGAAAAAAAAAAAGAGTTTGAAGGTTGCCAAAATTGGTGAAATGCTTCAAAATTGAGGTAATCGATGCGCTAATGATGATTTTAAACGACTTTTTGTATTATATGCATGTGGATGCATATTGTTTCCAAACACTACTCATGAGGTGTCGAAATACGTTTTTGGAATGGTTGATGATGTAAAGAAGATAAACCAATACAATTGGGCAAAATGTGTACTTAATGATTTGGTAAAAGGAGTTAATAAATTAAAGACATATAAAAATAGCAGTTGCAATGGTAGTCTACTTTTTTTAAAGGTATGCATGACCCAAATGTATTAAAATTTATTTTAAACTATCAGTTGCATTAATTTATAAGTGGCTTGTCAATGTACATGCAGTTGTTTTATTTGGTTTGTGTTGATGTTAATTGTCCAAAACCGAACAAGTACCCTAATGTTGTTAGTGATTGGCCTGAACAATTAATTAAGGAGTGCCTACAATATGAAATGTCTGAATTAGGACAATATGGACTCAGAAAGGTAACCTCAAAATTTTATTCCATTCACAAATATTTCAAATTATGCTAAATTGATTGTTTAATTGCATGATTTCATATTGTCAATAGATTATACCACAAGAGAAGGAGGATGACGACAGGGAGAAGGATGATGTCAATGTCGATGTTGATGTTGATGTTGAGGTAATTAATTGTGAAAATATATATTAGTTATCACACAGTTAAATCTATCTAATATTATGACACTACAATTTTTTTATTATGCTAATTAATTATGTTAAGATGGTTAAATTTCATTTGATTTGAGCAAATCGTTCTATTTGGTTAACACTTGTTACAATTATTTAAATCAACTGATCTATTCCTTTAACCTTGTTATATTAATATTTTTACACAGGTTTTATTAAAGAATTTGGAGAGGGACTTCCATCAAGTCCATCAAATTCAAAGACGTGTGAGGACAAACATATCAAAAATTCGCTTAAAATTTGGGAGAACGAACAAAAATGCTTCGTACCATTTTGTATAAACCCAGATAAAATGCCTGTTATACCCACCGGACCCTTGATAACATTACCTAAATGCTTCGTACTATTTTGCATAATATGCCATATACAAAGATGGTGGTGTGTTTCGGGCATCA